TGAGTTTTCAGGGGGAGCGTAAACCCATCCAGCACAGGTAGTATCCCTATTCCATCATCTGCCTTCCGACTAGCCGGGAGCACCTCTATTTTTTCTGGATTAAGTTTCAGTTTGTTTGCCCTCATCCAGCCCATTACTGATGCCAAGGACTGGTTTAGAGTCAAGACAACTTCTCTGGAATTAGGTGGAGAGATAGACAACTCTGAAATATTCATCTCCCAACTTCGAAGCAAAGTAGGAAAAATCAAAGAATAAAGTAAAAGGGGGCTACTTGAATACAGGACAAATTTTCTGTGACTGTGGAGAAATTCAATTAATGCAGTACTTATGTGCATGCAATTTATGCCCCACCATGTGCACTAAACAAGATTTAGCAAATGGCTGAGATAGTGCTATTGAAGCAGCTCATTTCTGGTCCAAAATAGTCTAATTATCTAAACATTTTAATTTGTTTTAATTATACCTATATTTTATATATGTCATTTTTTAAAATTTTGCAATGCTCTGCTATGAATAAAGAAATGGTCTCCTAAAAACAATATTCCCTTCTTTATTCCAGATGCATTTGACTACAACTTCCATCAGTCTCAGACAACATAGCTAGTGGCCATGCTGGTTGGCTACAGTGGTGGTTGTAGTCCACTACATCCAACCCAGACAATGCTGCTGGGTTGGAAAGGCTATCCTAAAAGTAATCTTTCAGGTTATCTTTCTCATCCTCAACCTCCTAAAAGTGAACCCACATGGGTAACTAACTGCCTTTGTGCACATTCTTCTGCTTTACAGTTGACTCTGTTTTCTCTCTGCTATGATATCTGGCAGTCTACATTTAGAGGGAGATAAGTAAAATGGGGTTCTTCAGGATAAGGATTTGCCTTTTGCTTGTTACAGAATGAAGTACTGATAGAGCAACACCAGCATTAACATGAAGAAGAGGAAGAGAAGGAGAAGAAAAAGAAGAAAGAGAAGATGACGACGACTGGGAGCTGCCACCAAGAAGGCCCTCTCCCATGTCCCCATCAGCTGTGCTTGTGCTTGCAATGAGACTGAGAGGAGGGCCTCCTCTGCTGATCTTAAAGGTCGAGAAGGCGCATATAGGGAGATACTGTACGGTGCTTCAGATAGCCTGGACCCAAGCTATATAGGGCTTTACAGGTAATGACTAGCACTTTGATTTGGGCCCGGAAACGGACCGGTAGCCAGTGCAGTTCTTGTAACAGGTGGGTTATATGCTCCCTGTAGCTGACCCCAGTCAGTTGTCTGGCTGCAGAGTTTTGCACCAGCTGAAGTTTCTGAACTGTTTTCAAAAGTAGCCCCACATAGAGCGTGTTAACAGTAATCCAAACGGGATGTAACTAAGGCACTATAGCCAGATCCGATATCTCAAGGAACGGGCGCAGCTGTCACACCAGCTTTAGCTGTGCAAATGCACTCCTAGCCACCCCCGAGACCTGGGCACCCAAGCTTAGGGATGAATCCAGGAGTACACCCAAGCTGTGGACCTGAGTTTTCAGGGGGAGCGTAAACCCATCCAGCACAGGTAGTATCCCTATTCCATCATCTGCCTTCCGACTAGCCGGGAGCACCTCTATTTTTTCTGGATTAAGTTTCAGTTTGTTTGCCCTCATCCAGCCCATTACTGATGCCAAGGACTGGTTTAGAGTCAAGACAACTTCTCTGGAATTAGGTGGAGAGATAGACAACTCTGAAATATTCATCTCCCAACTTCGAAGCAAAGTAGGAAAAATCAAAGAATAAAGTAAAAGGGGGCTACTTGAATACAGGACAAATTTTCTGTGACTGTGGAGAAATTCAATTAATGCAGTACTTATGTGCATGCAATTTATGCCCCACCATGTGCACTAAACAAGATTTAGCAAATGGCTGAGATAGTGCTATTGAAGCAGCTCATTTCTGGTCCAAAATAGTCTAATTATCTAAACATTTTAATTTGTTTTAATTATACCTATATTTTATATATGTCATTTTTTAAAATTTTGCAATGCTATGATATGAATAAAGAAATGGTCTCCTAAAAACAATATTCCCTTCTTTATTCCAGATGCATTTGACTACAACTTCCATCAGTCTCAGACAACATAGCTAGTGGCCATGCTGGTTCAGTACAGTGGTGGTTGTAGTCCACTACATCCAACCCAGACAATGCTGCTGGGTTGGAAAGGCTATCCTAAAAGTAATCTTTCAGGTTATCTTTCTCATCCTCAACCTCCTAAAAGTGAACCCACATGGGTAACTAACTGCCTTTGTGCACATTCTTCTGCTTTACAGTTGACTCTGTTTTCTCTCTGCTATGATATCTGGCAGTCTACATTTAGAGGGAGATAAGTAAAATGGGGTTCTTCAGGATAAGGATTTGCCTTTTGCTTGTTACAGAATGAAGTACTGATAGAGCAACACCAGCATTAACATGAAGAAGAGGAAGAGAAGGAGAAGAAAAAGAAGAAAGAGAAACCACCTTCTGAGTTCTCCCCTTCAGGAAGAACTGGAATCACTGTAAAACAGTGCCTCCAAGTCCCATCCCAGAGAGATGGCCCAGAAGGATACCATGGTTGATGGTATTGAAAGCCACTGAGAAGTCCAGCAGAACCAATAGGGACACGCTCCCGCCGTCCAGTTCCTGGCACAGGTCATCCACCAAGGTGACCAAAGCTGTCTCTCTGTCCCATAGCCAGGCCTGAAACCAGATTGTAGTTATCCAATACATTGGGTTCCAGGGAGGGCTTAATCAGTAGCGGTCTTATTACTGCCTCCTTTAAGCAAGCAGAGATCTTACCCTGCTGCAAGAAGGCATTTACCATTCCCTGTAACAAATTGGCCATTCTTCCTCTGGCTGCTTTTATGTGCTTTTATGAGCCAGGATGGGTAAGGGTCCAGTGCACATGTGGTGGCATTCACCTCTCCAAGAATCCTGTCCACATCATCAGCTGAAAAGTATCCATTAAAACAGGACAAACAGGGGCCAAAGTTTCATTCACAAGGTCTGTATCAATTACAGCATCCAAATCAGAGTGCGAACGAGCGACTTTATCTGTGAAGTATTGTGTAAATTCCTCACAGCAGGTTATGAAGTGGTCAATATTTTGTTCTTTTGGTGGGGCATGTACTAAGCCCCTGACCACTCAAAACAACTCCGCTGGACAACTTTGTGCAATGGCAGCAGAAAAATAACTTTTCTTTGCTGCAGCCACTGCCACAGAATGAATAGGCCTTCAAATAGGATCTAGTCCATGTTTGGTCGGATTCACTCTGAGTTTTCTGCCATCGCCATATATTGTAGCTCATACAAAACAGAATACAGAAGTAAACAGTAGTTAGGAATCAGAAGTCATAGAAACAGGGGAGCAAGGGAAACAACAGTGTGTTAGGAGGTGAAAGCATAGGGCTCATCATCATGAATACTTACAGGCAAGTAGAGTGGATAAAAATCAATGTTTTTTAAAAATCAATTTAATATAAATCACAATTTAATTTAAAAATATTTTTATTTAAATTGTTTAAAAATCTGATTAAAATTATACTATGATTTAAATCAATTTTATTTAAATTAAATCCACCCTACAGAGAAGTACAACATGGTCCTCTCTATGCTGAAAATAGCTATACCTATTTAATGCAATCAGTGTAAGCAAGGAAGCATTTTGTTTTGGTTCCCTTTTGAAGATCTTATCCAAATTTAGAAATGTCTTCACATTCAGGCAACAAAAAAGTTAGAGCTGAAAAAATATCCAAACAAGGTAGAAAGCAAAGCCAACCCATTTTCTCGTCTCTACCGTTAAATCTCTCGGTGTTTGTGTATACTTGTATGTTAATATCCTGTGGCAGAACAAGCACAAGAAAGGTATTCACATTTTACATCCTGGTGGCCAATACAAGTTGCACCTTTGCACTACAAAGTTGATTGAGACAAGAGCCCTTGTTCAGTTTCACTTGGAAGTGAAAGCACATTTGGAGGTGTGATGTTCCAGAACAACTCTGAAATATTCACCTCCCAGCTTTGAAGCAAAGTAAGAAAATCAAAGAATAATAAAGTAAAATGGGGCTACTTGAATACAGGACAAATTTTCTGTGATTGTGGAAAAATTCAATTAATGCAGTACTTATGTGCATGCAATTTATGCCCAATTATGTGCACTAAACAAGATCTAGCAAATGGCTGAGATAATGCTATTGAAGCAGCTCACTTCTGGTCCAAAATAGTCTAATTATCTTAACATTTTAATTTGTTTTAATTATACCTATATTTTATATATGCATTTTTAAAAATTTTGCAATGCACTGATATGAATAAAGAAATAGTCTCCTAAAAATAATATTCCCTTCCTTAACCCAGATGCATTTGACTACAACTTCCATCAGTCTCAGACAACATAGCTAGTGGCCATGCTGGTTGGCTACAGTGGTGGTTGTAGTCCACTACATCCAACCCAGACAATGCTGCTGGGTTGGAAAGGCTATCCTAAAAATAATCTTTCAGGTTATCTTTCTCATTCTCAACCTCCTGAAAGAAACTGAACCCACATGTGTAACTAATTGCCTTTGTGCACATTCTTCCGGTTTACAGTTGACTCCGTTTGCTTTCTCTCTGATATGATATCTGGCAGTCTACATTTAGAGGGAGATACGTAAAATGGAGTTCTTCAGGATAAGGATTTGCCTTTTTCTTTTTACAAAATGAAGTACTACATACACTGATAGAGCAACAGCATCATTAACATGAAAAAGAGGAAGGGAAGGAGAAGAAAAAGAAGAGAAAACAGCAATGACGATGATGCTGATGCTGATGATCATGATAATCATCATGATGCTGATAATGATGATGATGAAAGTAGGGGACCCCCCCATGAGCCAAGTCCATACTCCTTAGATGTGATGTGTAGCCTCTCAGGGCAGAACTAGAGATTAAGGGAAATACGTATTCCTTATGATTAAGACAGAAGAATTAAACTTATTGTGTTTCTCTTCCAGTGATGGATTTTGCTGAGTTGAGTTACTCAGCAATAAGACTTGCAAACTATGCTCTTCCGTACCTTTCAACTGACGAATCACAAAAGGAAACACAATTAAGTGCATGATACAGAAGGCAGGAAAACCACATGCTATGGCAGACATGTTTCAGCATTAGAGGGAGCAGCTAAATATATTGTTTTGTTTGGCTCCTACATACCATCAAGAGAAGAGAGGGAATGGAAGGAATAGGAGCTATGACTGCAAGTACCTAGCGGAACGCCTTCTCCCACCTAGATCTACTTGAGTCACTCGCTATAGCCAGGAAAGATGACTGAGGGGCCTACCGCTGAGGGAGGCCCAGAAAGAAAGAACCGGGCCTTCTCAGCAGTGGCCCCTTGACTTTGAAACAGCTTGCTGTCAGAGATTTGCCTGGCACCCTCACTGGGTGTTTTTAAGAGCCAATTAAAGACTTGGCTCTTTAGGCAGGCCTTCCCTCCTGTCAATACTTAACTTTCACTTCTTACCTTAGCTTTTTCCTCACATTGCCCATCTTGAACAATACTAACACCATTGACTCAAATTGTTTTAACTGTTTTATGATATGTTTTATTGTAAGCCGCCCTGAGTAGACATTGTCTAGAAGGGCGGGATATAAATCTAATAAATAAAGTTATCAGTTATTTGCCTTCTTGACCTCCCACCTTCCAATGAACAAGTCTGTCGCTTTATGTCCATGGGGCCAGAATGCCTGCTTCTTCTCCTTTTCTTGATGGGATATAGAACTCCAACTTCAAATTTCATCTTTCAGTCCAATGCAACCAAAGTTTTAGCTTACCTGCTCTTCCTTTGAACCTGGGAAAGCCAATGGATTGGGTGACCAGTTTCCAAAAGGACTGCTATCCAAACTGGAACCACTGCTGGTGCTGTGGTGATGTCTGGATGTATTCACCTGCACAACAGCATTTTATTGGCACAGGGATGGGAATGATGAAGCCTGCTGTCCACCAGATGCCTTCCATGTGGCCTCTGGGTATCCCAGAGCCTTCCAGCATGGAAAGATTCTGGCACAAAGGTACGGAATTGTGCCTACAGAATCCAGGAAATGTAGTTCTCCTATCAAATGTTACTTCCACCTCACCCCACCTCTTCTTTATGCCCTAAACACCATTTTTTGAAAATCTGAAACCTAGATAGAAGGAATGAGTTTTGCATCTGGACAGCAAAGGAAGTTTTGAGGGCAACAAGTGGTTCTGTTAGTGCTGGAAGAAAGGATTATGTTTTATTCTAGCATCAGTCAAAATGGTGTCCTTCACATCTGTGGAACTACAATTTCCACACTCTCGGGGTAGGAGGTGCAGTCCCACCCCCAGATAAATGCTAATTTGGGTGAGGTAGGGAGGCAGTTCTATAGGTCGGCACTGCCTCTGGGTGCCCTCTCTCTCTGCAAAGAGTTCTCCACTAGGGCCAAATCAGATGCTGACAATATTCACCCATCTGGCATCTGTGTAATTAAAAAAAAAATTAAAGCAAATGGGATTGCAAAAGGTTAAATCATTTGTCCCACTATCCTCATTGTAACATCAACCAGATTCGGTAGTAAAAAAACAAAAAAATTTTTTTTAAAGAAATCAAACAAACAAACAAACAAACAAAGATTTTTTGAAAGAAACGAAAAATTCCACAAAGGGCTACAATCTAGTTTCAGCAATGAATTAATTTTGCTCTAGGCTTTTTTTTAAAAAAAATCATGTCAAAGAGATTCAGTTTCCCCTGAGCCACAGGGCCAGAGACTTCCATGTGACAATGTTTCTATAAGCCTATCTTCCATCAATGCAGAGGAAAGAATATTGCATTCAAACCCCAAGCCACCCAGAGTGTATTCACACATGCTATTCACTGAATAAAAAGCAATACCTAATAACTGCTTGGGGGAATATAGCTACATGTAGGCTGGTCCTCACACACTCACGACTTCATGAGCAAAACCAGATTTCTCATCCAATTAAACCCTGAAGTACTGTAATCACTTACTGCTTCACACAGTGAGAAGAGAAAGACAACGGCCATTTTGATACTTTGTGCAGAAAACTGAAATGATTAAACAATGCAAGTAGGTGCAAATGGCCCTGTCTCTACCACCAGAGTATTTTACTCTTCCCCACAGGTAAGTGGCAGAGTTATTCCTGGGTGGTGCCTTGCCAATCCACAGATTTTCCTAATTTTTCTTACTGTGTCTGATAGGTAATGGTTGTCATCGAACACCATCCCCTCCTGGCTGCCATAAGAGGCCCAGTCTTGGTAGGCTGAGGGAACCCCAGGATAGTCCAGCTGCTTGTAAGAACCAATTGGAGAGTAATCCTCTTCTGGGTAGTGTTCAAGTTCATCAGGAGAAAGGTTGGGGTAGTCAGTTTCTGGTGTTGGTGGCTGAAAAAAAAATCAGATGAAAGTCATATACATACACACAGAGAGAGCAATCACTCCCCTCTTAACATGGGGTGGGGAGTGTTGATTTCCTTGAAGCAGAACTGAAGAATTTTCACTCTACAGGTATTGCTGAATTCCAGTTCCCCTGACTCCCTTGTCAACCTGGCCAGCGGAGAGGTGAAGCATTATGGTAGCAAGGATTTGTCAATATCTAAAAGGCCATGGGCTCACCACCTTTGTCTAAAGATTACTTTCTCTCTCACCCCACAAGAGAGGGGGAACAAAAATCCACCTGGAAGGACTATAAATTAATATCCCAAGGAAGATTTTTACTGTGCTTTCCAAACATCTAACATTGAGGCCCACTCCTTAGAATATAAGGTGGCAATCACTGACCTAGCACAGACTCCAGAAGACCATAATCTACTCCCTAGCTCCTCCACAGGAGACCACAGTATATCAGATGTCTGCAAACCAAGGACATATTGCTTAGAGCAGGTATAGCGAACCAGGAGACTGTAGGTTTAAACCATCACCACCCCATGATAAATTATCAGGAAAGACATTAAACTATAACCAAGCATTTTAAAAATTGTCACATTTTAAAGTTAAATCTTGCATATGGATTTTGCATGCAGGATGTAACCATATGCAACACATACAGTTGTAAATATAAATAAATAAGCAATACATACAGTATGTATTTATTTTAATGTCATGTCATTCCCAAGTGAATGCATTCCACAACTAACAAGCCCGTACTGGGAGATGCTGTCAAACTTGATTATGGAGCATAAGAGCCTGTAATAGGGAACATTTAGTTTGTATAGCAACACTATATCCCTGGCCTTCAGTGATGCAGCCCAAGGATTGAAAATTTGGCTATCTGTTGGAAGCCCTTTCCCTCTAATCCCAATATCCAAAGGTTCATGACTGGACACTCTGATTCTTTACTGCATTTTTAAACATTTAATCTGTTTTCTATGTCATGACTCTAGCTCTCAAAGAATGTGTTACAAAACAAGCACTGAGAGTGTTGAGTAAGGAGTCAAGACATGCTGTAGTATGATAAGGTACTGCTCTATTATCCACAACATAGTCTTACAGGGAAAATTCTTACAGTATTGATCTGACAACAGCTCTTGATCAAGATCTTTCCTTTTGGGACACAGCAACATCATATAACATTGTATCTCCTAATGGGACATAAATATTCTTGATAAATGAGTAAAATATCACCCCCATCTCTTCTCTTGCTAAGAGATTTTTTCCTTGCCATTGACTGGATGTTGGGCCATCCAACAAAATTTATTCCTCCACCCTAGAATCAAGGAGCCCCCATTGTTCATTTACCCTCCGATCCACAGGGCCATAGGAAGTAAACGCAGGCTGCATCTCCGGAGAATCTGGCGTTTCACTCAGCTGTTGGGGTGCATCCCACGATGACTCGCCTGTTGCTGTATTATAGAAGAATACTTGTCCACTGGCTTCATCCAGATATTGGTCCCACTCTGCAGGTGTGGCTGGGCTAGGAGCAAGCAAGGGGGACTGAGGCTGGGTGGGACTTGTGCTATTCAGGGAACCATCGAAGGGAGAGTCCCAGGTCGTTTGGCCAGTCACTGTGTTGTAATAGAACAAGTGGCCACTTTCTGCGTCTGTGTGGGTCTCCCAGGGGGTCAGAAGGCTGTTGAACTGTGGCTGAAGTGTGGATTCAGCATTGGTGGCAGTGGTAGTACTCTGTTCCAACTGCAACTCTTGTAGATTCACATACACAGGATCTGCATCTACTTCCTTGTGTTGCTGGAGAACCAAGAAAGAGACATCATCTGAATGCATCATCGCACAATACTCTATACCAAGATAAAGAAATGTTGGCTCTCCAGTTATCTGAAAACTTACTACTGCCGCTGCTGCTGTTACTACTACTGTTATAAGGCAGTAGGGGAGAAGAGGCTTTTTGAGTAAAGAAACTTGAATAATGTATTTATCCCCCCCCATTTTAAAATGCCATATAATACTTGATTTCATTTAAAATGAGTTTGTTTTTTTTTTTAAATTGCAACCTATGTTTCAAGATTTCTGCTACTAAAGCCTGTGTGTCACTGCTCTGGCTTGCAGCATGCACCAGGCTGATCCTCAGACAATACTGGGATTCTTTTTGTAAGAGGATTTTAATAATGCAACAAAACAGCTGAAATAGATGACAACAATCTAGAGGCTTGTTTGTTTCTTTGTTCTATTATGCTTGTTTTGGGGGGGGGGCAGCTAGATAGGTGTACTGTAGGACCAGTTTAAGGGAAAACCTGTGTCTGTCATTGGCCTGTCACACACACACCCAGATAAAATCTGCTCTGTGAACTGGTTTTTCTCAAATTTCACAAACTGGGCCTGTCTAAAACATTTTCTTGTCTGAAGCAGGAACAAGATTTTGCTTCCCACGTGCCAAAACCAACTGGAATAGCAGTTGAATCTTCAGTGTTGGCAATCTACTGCACTTGAGTAACACCAGTTTAGCTTCAGGACCAAAGGGTGATCACTCTGGACCTTTTAGACTCTGTTACTTCTGTCTAATTGCAGGATTGGCCCTGTTTAGATGATTGTTCAGAGGACAAAAAAATCACAATTCCATCAAAACTTCAAAAGAAGTCATTACAACTTTGACTTCAAAAGGTTTTCAACAATTTTTTTTGGTCTACCACGAGTTCACCTTTGTCCTGAGGCCTCTTAAATCTAGAGCTTCCCATGACCCGTTTGATTTATGATCTTCTATCTTCTTTCTGTCAGAGAAAACAAATTTTCTCACACAGAAAATTTCTCTCACAGTCAAATTTAATAGGTGATCCTTTCTTGATATAGAGGTGAAATTATGAAGAAAAAAACCACTTGTTTGCATTCCATGGCAAGCTGAGAGGTCAGTAAAAGGTAGCCACAGCCCCTCAGTGTTGGTCAAGAGAGGGAACTGAACAAAACGGGGAGGGGAGAGACAAATGGTTTAGAATCCTATTTTATGGGAGGTGCATGGCAAAAATATTCATTGTATTTCAGGACTGCTGGTACTTTTCAATTTACGGCTGCTTCTTTCAAATGTACTCAGATGCAAGTCAACAACCGAGATAGTACAGGTGGGGAGTACCACAAATGTCATGTTCACCGAAACCCAAAATGACTGAAAAGGTGCTCTGGAAAATCTCACCCAGCTCTCAGGAACAGACCCCCTGGAGTTCTTTGAAGGGGTGCTGAAATGAGAAGTGAGAGGAGTTATCTCTGGATTTTAGTGTTCTGCAAGCAAATAACTGACACTAATTACATTCAGGGGAGTCCAAACATCCACTCATACAGTTTGCTTTCAATTATTCGGTACTGTATATAATTCGCTTGCAATCTCCTTGGATTTGTTTAGATCAGACAAAGGACTGTTTTCAGAAGAGCTTAAACCATTCATCTTGCTTTGTTTTGTTCCAGAAGGCTTTCCTCTTCCTACTTTTATGTACGTAGTTCATCTTTACATCAGGAGTGGCGAACACTTGGCCTTGCAGATATTGCCAAGGTATACCCCTCGTCATCTCCAGCTAGCAAAGACAGTGGAACAAGAAAGTTGCAGCTCATCAGAATCTCCAGGATTGCACTTTCCATTTGTATTATGAAAACTGATAATAAACATAATAGTTAAGTAGGTCTGCCATTTCCCTCACTGGACCCCTGTTCCTATGTCTTTTAACAGTAGACTGATGTGCAGAGGTTGGCACAAGATAAATACTTGCTGAAATGCCATGGACAGCCTCACTTCCTGATTTCTGCAACTTAAACTGCTTTTAATAGACATAGCAGGTGCTCAGGCCTGTTTTTCTGGTTGATTCTCACTATCTCTACTGAAAAGCGACAGTCACAAAATACAGTAAAGCTAGAATAAATATTTGGTGAAGAATCTAAGGAGAGGTGACTGTAATCCTAAAACTCACTTCAGTGGCCAAAATGTAAGTAGATTTCGATCTTCTTGGGAGCTGGAGTAGCAAAATTAGAAATCCAAAGCAAAGAATAATTGTTGAATTGAAGAAGCTTTTCTTCTTAGCTCCTCACTTTTCTTCCCTCTCCTTTAAAACACTTCTTTTACCTTTGTTGTAACAGTACCATTAAACATTGCTATCAATCCATCTTATGTTTAAATTATATGTTCATAGAGACATGTCTCAGGATGAGGTGAAAAAAAGTTTAATAGTACCAGGAAAAAGCCTTACATGTTTCAGTCTGGCTATATCCATCTTCAAGGCAATTAAAAGAAAAAGTCTGCAAATGTTTTCACTGGGAGTCTCCAAACCAACTCACTGGCAACTGTTAATTGGTAGGGAAGTTTGAAACCAATGTTAGAGATAGCTCATAAGTAAAACTAAAAGCACATCATCCACCCCAGCACGGATGCCATGCTGGGGTGGATGAGGGATAACAGACAGAGGCTGAACTCTGGCAAGAAGGAAATCCTGTGGGTGGGTGCCCCTAGTGTCTGCGGTCTGGGTGCTTCCTTCTCTTTTGGGGTTGTTACTCTTTCTGCGACGGATGACATTCACAGCTGGGCATACTCCTGGACCCATCACTGTCAATGGAATCCCAGATATCATTTGTGGTCCGTTTTGCCTATTTCCATCTAAGGCAGGTTGCCCAGTTGTGTCCCTACCTTGACACCAGGTCCCTCACCACGCTGGTTCATGCACTGGTAGTCTTGAGATCAGACTATTGCTCTCTATGTGGGGCTGCCCTTGGGGGATGTTATGGAGACTCCAATGGGTCCAGAAATCGGACGCCGGATTGTTGAGTGCAACAAGGCAACACCAACATATTTCCCCTTCCTTGGCTGCCCTGCACTGGTTACCTCTTCGCTTCTGTGCCAGCTTCAAGGTGATGATGTTAACCTATAAGGCCCTAAACAGTTTAGGACCTTAATATCTGGCAGAACGCCTCCTTCGAATTAGATCTGTCTGTTCTATAAGATCTTCCCAGCCTGGGTGATTGAGAGTTCTGACCCTGAGAGAGATCCAAAAAATGATGACCAAAAATTGGGCCTTCTTGGCGGTCGCCCTGCAACTATGAAACAGTTTCCTGCCTGAAATTCGCCTGGCCCCTTCATTGGGTATCTTAAATATCATTAAAAATGTGGTTATTTAGACAGAACTTCTCAGATTTTAAAATATTCTGATATAATAGTGCATTTAATAACTAACATTCAACCTTCCACCATGCTTTTATCATGCTTTATTATGCTTTTATTATATCATTTCTTAGTGTAATTTGTCTTAGTGGCTCTTATACTGTATTTTGTTTTATCATTATTGATTATTTTTGTTTTTCGGTATTGTTTTATTACTGCTTTTGTAAACAGCCCAGAGTAGCCTTAGCAGCCAGATAGGCAGTATAAAAATAAATCAAATAAACAATAAACCAATGTGGCAGACAGGTGACTGTGTCATTCTACATGACATTTCAAAGGACTGCTGTGATGAGGAGGAAATAAAGACAGAAGTGAACAAAGTGAGCTAACCTGCATAATTTTGGAGAAAAACTCTTTCTGTAACACCCAGACTTTCACTTCAGTTAAGAATTTCCTTCTTCCACTCACCGGATATCTCTAACATCTGTTCTGGCCTGATAACAAGCTGAAATGGATTGGGCATTTTAAAAGCAATAAATGTAGTCTCCCAGCATCCTAAGACTTGCTTCTTCTGCATGTGTGTTCCATGCCATTTCTAGTATATTTCCCATACCATAATAGGATCAAAAAGGAAAAACCAGAAGAAGGTTAATATTTCTTAACATCATAGGATGGTATCCCAAATGAACTATTTATCTGCGGGGGGGAGAGGGCAATGCCAAAGATCAGATCCAGCAGAATGTATGCCTTTACCTGATAGTGAAGCAGTCTCTTTCTTCATTTAAAAAGTGCAAGTGATGGAAGAGAACCTAGGAATGTTGTTGAGTATCAGCTAAAATGTAGGATAGCCTAAGGGCCAGATGCCACAGTTGTTCTGTTGTGAAGCCATCAGAATGCGGGGTAAGACTGGATCGCCCTGAGTTCAACTTCTTGCTTGGCTAGAATGAAGGATATCCATGGGCTCACTGGAGAGGGCTGGACTAGGCTAAATAGGGCCACTTGAGGTCACGTCAAACTCTTGTGTGCCATTTGGTGTGGTCCTTGCATCCAAATGGAACACACACCTCAAAGGACCCTGTTTGGTGTAACTCCTTTCTCTTTGAATTTCCTAAATGATGAAGTGGCTTAAGAAGATAGCCACTTCACAATATTGGGAAATTAAACATTACCTCCGGTCATGTGCAGAGGGGCAGAGGAAGTAAAAAAAAATTTTTTACATTGTATTAGGGCATCACTTAGAAAAAAATATTAAGAAAAATTTGAGAACTTCCTCCTGGAATCTGCCCACAAATTGAATCCATCACCAGCCAGTACTCAGCAGTGGATGTGGGTAGATTCCAGAAGAACATGTTCAAGTTTTCTTTTTATTTGTATAAGTGATGCAGCATATCGGCAAAGCCCTAATACAGTATATATATATTTTTCACTTTCTCTGAACCTCCACAGTTAACATTAATATTACAAAGAAACCATTACATCTCCCATGTCCAAACCAAAAAGCTGTAGTTTCCCCTCACAGAAGGCTGTCTATGCAGCCTCACACTCCCACAAAATACATTAGAGTAGAACTAATGGTTTCTAGAAGAACAGAAAGACCTGGTTTGGGGTGGGTGAAGGGAGTCAAAGGTTCCGAGGGCCAATGTGATAGCCTCAAACAGTA